GCTAATTATAGCTAATTTGCCTACAAACATCAGGTGGTCATAATAAACTGGCCACTCAGTGTAAAAATAAAATACATTTGATAACCTAATAGCTTTCAATAATCTTATCAGATAGCCGACATTAGAATAACAGTGTAGGCTTTGGAACACACTGCTTTACATGACCACAACCTTAAGACCCCTTTCACATGAGTGTGTCAGGAGAGAATCCGTCATCAGATCTTGTTCTGATCTCACCAGTACAGAGTGGATTTCACCGCTGTGACATCCGTGTCCATACAGTTTTTTCCTCCATCTTGCGATGGAGGAAAAAACTGAAGCTGCCGGACCCCATGTTGGTCTATGGGGAATCTGATGTAAACGACATGTGTTACATCAGATTACCCCCAGTCGGACACGATCCGATCAGGCGAAACGGATCTCTGATCGATTTTTTCCCCCGGACCTAGCCGGGGCTAACCGGGTGTAAAACGGATGCTTATCCATTTACACACGGCGGCCCATAGACTTGTAAAGAGCATTCGATTGGGTCCAGCTGAAAAACTGACAGGCGGACCTGATTGGACCACTCATGTCAAAGGGGTAGTAGCAACTGGCCAAACATCTTCCTAGTCTGGACAAAAAACGGTCATGACAAATGATTAGAACAAATATTTACAATTACTAAAGTCATCATAGTCTTCACCAGGCGAAAGCACTATGCCTTTGACCTATAACATTTTAGAGTGTATAATCACTTCTGGACTTCGACACCTTAAAAACTTCAACAAAGTTCCTAGGCCAGATCTCCATGCCCCACTCTTTGCCGTCCATCGTGGTGCACCCTGGCTGCTATTGGCAAAATCTGGTTGCTGTAGCTGATTCTGTATAAAATTACATGTTCAGATAGTGTCTGTAAGTGACAATGAAAAATATTATGCAACAGTGTATTATCTGATTCATATGTTGATTACAGTATTGGCTGTTTTATTTGTATATGACATCAATAAAACCAACCTTACAAGCAAAAACACATTGTTCCTATTTAACCTCCTAATAACCCTTCGTTAATCCTAATCAGTACCAATGATCTCCTTCCTCCCCTCTGCCCTTAGCTATTTTTAAAAGTTATTTTTACGATTTTACCAATATTATTTAAACATTTTTTTTATTTTCATTGCTTTGTTTGTTAATATGTTTCACCAAATGCCTTGTTTTTAGGAGCGGTCTGTGTCTCTGTGTATTATTATTACTACTTTTTTGAATGTTTAATTGCAAATGTTGCTTATCATTTTATGAGCTATTCTTGCTAGTGCAGGGGATTATTAGTTTTCGATTTTATATTAGAAACTATTTTTCTATGTGGTAAATATTTTAATGCATCTATTTAAATTGGATTTCAAATTAAATCCAATAAAATTTGGATTACAAACAGGCAGAAAAAAAGTGCATTTAAAATAGTTGTGATGTTTTTACTTAATATTTTACATGTTAACCTTTAGAGGCAATAACTGCAAACAAGAACTTTTTGTAGCTCTTAATGAGATTTCTGCACCTGCCACCAGACAGTTTGGCACACTTATCTTGAGCAAACTACTCCAGCTGTCTGAAAGGTGCCCTCTCCACACTGCATGTTTCAGCTCTTTCCATAGATGTTCGATAGGATTAAAATCAAAGCTTATTTACAGTCACTTTAGAGTAGTCCAATGTGATGTTATTTGCCATTCTTGGATGTTTTTAGCTGTGTGTTTATCCTGTTGAAGGACCCATGACCTGCGACCAAGACAGAGCTTCCTTGATAGTCTTCAGATTTTATTGTGCCCTGTACAGATTGAAGGAACTATGCACAAGGTGCAGCAAAGCAGCCCTTCAAACAAATGACTGAGCCTCCTCCATTTTGTTTTACGGTAGGCATGGTGTTCTTTTCTTTGAAAGCTCCATTATTTTCATCTTTGAAAATAGAGCTGATATGACTTTTTGAGTTTGAGTTTTGTCTTTCAGACGCAATAAAGCTTGTCAATATGAACTTAAGCAAATTTTGTGGTTTTCTTTCTACACTAAAGTCTTCCTTTGAGCCCACTCTTGCTAACAAATGATGGATGGTGCGATCAGGCACTTTCCTTGGAGTTCAGCTTGTATCTATTAGAGGTTTTCTTGCCTCTTTGTCTACCATTTTGGACTATCCTTCTGGTCAATCTGGGGTTGATTTTTCTCTTGCAACCACATCCAGGAAGGTTGGCTACACGCCCATGGGCCCTAAAGAGTAAGTTCACTTTCTCGCAAAAGGTGAAAAAAATAAACTTACTGACAGCACCCCACTACCGGCTTCTGCTGCACTTACGTGCCTGAAGTCCCCACCAGCAGGTGTAGCATTCTATACATCGTACACTGGATTTCCCAGCCCTGCGGTATGAAATGCGCATAATGTTCGCAAATAGTGAGCACTTATTGGTCAGCACAGTCAAATGACTATTGAGAAGCATTTCTGAGCTGGGGACCAGGAACTGAAAGTAAGAAACGTTGACTAACTGATTACAAGATTAAAGATGTGGGATACTAATTACAGAAAACAGTTTGAAATATCAATATGACCCAATTATTTATGTTTTCTAGGGGTACTAACAGATTTGTCCTGGCCAATGCAGAATTTCTTTAAAGAATAAGCAATAATTGATATCTTTTCACACTTTACGACATACCGAAGGCATGCAATTTCATCGCTTTTCACTTTCAACAATGGCAACTGGACTACATTTGTAGATTCTATTTTCCAGACCTTTACCCCATAAGCATACTTATGCCATAGCAACTCTGATTTGACATCCCCTCACCATTAACTTTCATATTCCAGCATCACAGATCCTTCACAGCAGCACTAGAGAGAATGGTGGGTGCACACTGGCCGAGCCTGTCTTGCTCCAGCATCAACAGTTACTCACATAAAGAAGTCCAGTCGCACACCACAAGGTTTGCTGAAAAATTTATTATAGCACACAATACACATCGTCCCATCATGGATCCTTTTCACTCTGATATGTTTCACCCAATAATGGGCTTATTCACCATGTTTGGATTATGTTATATTTGTGACAGATGGAGAACACAAGGTTTTCTATTCCTTTACGGCAGTAATGTTTTGCCATTTTCTTTCCTCATATTATATAGGTTAGTTTTAATAATCAAGTATGACAGTTCTATAAAATGCTTATAATCTTATGCACAATAATTGTTCTAAGTGAACAGACATCAGGGATGTCAATATGAAACTGCTGTCAAGCAAACAGATGATCTTTGGATTTGTTAATCTTCATGTATACAAGTATGACATGTAGCTGTTGTACATTGGAATCGTTATATGGTTCTGGTCCATTAAACTCTTCAAACATCAGATGAATGGACAGATCCTAGCTATGCATCCTTGATAGAAGGCACTATAAATGTTAAATAATCACAGGATGTTACAAGATATCTTGTGCTTTGTGGTGCAGTTCTTCACTATAATTTATGGGTTGTCATTCTAGATGAGCATTGCTTATTTTTAGGTTTGGTGTTTTTTCTTGTTAAAATACAAGGAGTTACAGCTTGTGTAATTATTTTAAATATACATGCTGGCAAAAACTTAATAGAAGCTTCTAAGCGTGAAAGTGTTACTACAGCATAAAAAAATCATTAGCGTTCAAATGGTTTTTTGATTGACTCCCTGATTTGGAAGAGAACGGCTGAGGAGGGGGAGAAAATGAGCTTTATGACAACGTATTTAGGACACCAGAAATTGATATAAAACAAAGCTTTCACTAAAATTATAACTAAAATGTTGTAATTTAAGTGTTTACTTCTACATTATTTTATTTCAATTCAGCCCTATATTCAGCAAAATAAGAACCTTCTTTAAATGCCCTCCTCATCGGGCCCCAAAGAGGAGCTACAGCCAGAACTTTTTTAAAGTTACTAATAGAATGAGGAAGGATATGAACCTCTGTAATGTCTTTATTTTCGTCTGTGACTCCCTTAGGCAGACTTACCCTCACATTGTGTCTTAGTAACACCTTGTGACACCAGGTCAAGTGATGAGGGGAACAGGGAGCAGTGGGATAGGAAGGAGCATAGAACAATACAATCCTGACAGAGATTTTAAGACCTTTCACCACAAATGTATTTTTGCTGCTGTCTGTGTCTCTGTTGGAAAGATTTCTCAATACACATGTTTTTCTTTATCACAAATTTTTTTGTCTGTGCCCATCCCTTTCTTTTCATCAATTTGTTTGACAGCACAAAATAAATAAAATCTTACATTGCATTATGGTTGCATTGCTCAGAGCCTAAACTTTACTTGTTCTTGGTGGCTTAAAAGAGTGCCTGGGGAAGCACATACAGAAAGTATGTGCTGCTGTAGAAAGGGATATTAAAGCAAACTTGTCACTTTGCATTTCATGGGAAAAACCCAGGTTTGCCTATAAAGGGTACCATCTAACCTGGAGGTAGGTGAACAACAAGCTTGAATATAGTTAAACCTCTGCACTCATGTTGCTGTGGTGTGCAACGCTCAATGTCCAACACCAGGTATCTCTGTATCAAGATTATTCTACATGTGCTGAATGTGTTTCAGACGCTGTCCGCATAAAGTTGAGAACTCTTTGCACACATTCAGCAAAGATAGAGAAATGTGGGAAGAAAATGGTCTAGTTCAAGAAAATAGGGGATCTTGGTAATAGGTGAACTGTAAGTGACAAATACACATGCTGATCATTTAACCTCTCCTACCTAAAATGCTATAAAGGAGTCTATTCTCTTATTTAGGCAGCAGTTTTAAATTGGAAAAGTGTAGCTTGAACAAAGGAAAACCTCTCTTTGACCCCCATTTGATCTTTGTAAAGATATGTTATGGGATAAGCCATCTATCACTGTGATTGTTCTTTGTTGCACATTTTGAAATCATTCCACATACATTGGTGGAATATATATAAGCTGTTTAACCACACTGTATCAATGTTAGCACCTTTCACATATGTTTGTATTTGCAGTTTGCTTTCAGATTCTAAGCAGCTTGACATTCTGAGGAAAACAAGATCTTACATTCAGGGAGGGAATTACAAAGAAGCGGTAAGTTTATAATCACAAGGCAGCGACAGTTTCTTATTTGAGTAATGTCTTTTATGTGTCCTTGTGTTTCCTATTGTTGTAAAGATTGGCATTTCAATCATAGGAAAACTCCTAGTGCAAATCTCTTTAGCACCAAATTACCAGAGCATTCAGAGCTAGACGTAGCAATTTGTATCACATGGGGAAAGTGGCATGTGATTTTTCTTCTTTTCTTCATTAACTATTTGATCCTGATTTGCCATGTTATGAAGTGATGCTTTATGCTGACTAAGTAAAAACATCTTCCATATCCCTTGATGCTTCCTCCTCTTACAAAGCAGCTGTGCTCAAATAATTCCGATGTTTGGAAAACAAACTGTATTATAGAATCTAGAAGTAAGTGCAAAGACAAGATTTTATTTCAACAATTTTTTCTAACACAATTTTTAACTGAATAGGAAATTACATTATTTCCAGGTCCAGCAACAATGAATGAAAAATAATGCTCAATTTTTTTTGTACCAAAGTCTAAAGTTCTATTAAAGTGACATTAAACCCTCAGATTTTTTAACATAAACCAATACTGTAATGTCTTCTCACGCTTGGGGAGAACTTCCCTTTGCAGCTCAGGGCCTCTTCCTGTAGTGCTGGCTCAGGTTACAAACCTATACACAGACACCATATATCCATTCCTGAGACAAGGCAGTCTGCTGCAAAACAGAAGTTCTGCCCAGCATGAGAACAGATACAGATTTAAAAGGAAGAGCAGCAAAGAGAAGGGAAACAACCATGGATTACAGTAAGGCACACATTACAGTATTGTTTTATGTTAAAAAAATCTGAGGGTTTAATGTCACTTTAAACTATCACATTTTTAATAATAAACCCAGATCAGAAAATATATACATCACCCAGCAATGCATTTATTTAAATGTTTGCCAAGCACTTACAGTCATCATGCTTCCAAAACAGCTGGCTCCAACTCTGTCTGCTCGGCTTCTGTTAACCTCCTGTCCAGTAAAGGATCACAAGAAACAGAGAAGGGGAAGAGAGAGCATCAGGAAAAAGGGAGAATGGAAGTGGCTTGTAGTGCTATGTTTGTGGAGATGCACACAGCTTACTAGCACAAGCAATGGTGACTCCCTAAGACCCTGTAAGGGAAAGGAGCCACCCTAAAACAGGACATCAGGGTCAGTGTTTAGAAAACCAGCTGATTCTGCAGGAAACTAAAACATCAAGGAGCGGCATTCATTGTAAGTAATTTCATCATCATTTGAAATAACTTAAAAACCTTTTGATTTTAATATTTCATATATCTATTATAATTTTATATATTTATATACATATATATTTTTTTGTTTTGGATGGCATGGGGGAGGGTTAGCAACCCTATGACATTTCTGTCTGTGCCTCTGCTGTGGAGTGTTACCTTCTCTATTTTTCATCATTACTATTGTCAGGGGAAAGTCAGGGAAAATTCCAAATTTTCAGTTGGCCTCAGAGCAGAAATACTTATTTTGGTGACAATCTCTCACAACCTGTTGTGTCTAAAGGACCCGAGTCTATGCAAAACTAAAAGAAAAAAAAAAGTTTTTTATCTTTACATATATAAGGTCATGGCCAAAATTATTGGCACCTTCTCCAAACTACAAGAAATAATTGCATTCCAAGTTTATGATGCTCCTGTAATTTTCAATTAAACACATGTATCAATTAACAGGTGCTAACAATATAGAAATTACACCGGCAACCAGGTAAAATGGTGAAAAATTGACTCAACCTTTCTGTTGTGTGTCTCTGTGTGCCACACAGAGCATGGAGAAAAGAAAGAGCAGCAAAGAATTGTCTGAGGATTTGAGAACAAAAATTGTGGAAAAGCATGGACAATCTCAAGGTTCAGTCCATCTCCAGAGATCTTAATGCTCCTTTGTCTGCTCTGCGCAACATCATCAAGAAGTTTACAGCCCACTGTAGCTAATCTCCCTGGAGGTGGACAAAAGAGAACAATTGATTAAAGATTGCAACAAAGGATTGTTCGAATGGTGGATAAAGACCCTCAATCAACTTCCAGACAAATTCAAGCTGACCTTCAGGCACAGGGTACAACTGTGTCAGCTCGCACTACACGTCGCCATCTGAATGAAAAGGGACACTATGGTAGGAGGATCCCACTGCTGACACAGAAACAGAAAAAAGCCAGATTAGAGTTTGCCAAAACTTACCTGAGGAAGCCAAAATCCTTTTGGTAAAGCCCATTATTATACTGTTTTCAGAAAAATAAATGAGTCCTTTAAAGAACAAAATACAGTCAAACATGGTGGAGGTTCACTGATGTTTTGGGGTTGCTTTGCTGCTTCAGGCACTGGATGCCTTGACTATGTGCCTGCCATTATGAAATCTGAAGACTACCAAATAATTTTTCGGTGCAGTGCAGGGTCCAGTGTCAGAAAGTTGGGTCTCCGCCAGAGGTCATGGGTCTTACAGCAGGACACTGACCCAAAGCACACGTCAAAAAGCACATAGAAATGGTTTCCGACAAAGTGCTGGAGAGTACTAGACTGGTCAGCAATGAGTCCAGATCTAAATCTGATAGAGCACCTGTGGAGAGATCTCAAAACAGCAGTTGTGAAAACTAACCCTTCAAATGTGATAGACCTGGAGCAGTTGGCGAAAGAAGAGAGGTTTATAGAGAGGTGTAATAAACTCATCGATGGTTACAGGAATTGATTGATTTCAGTTATTTTTTTCCAAGGGCTGTGCTACCAAATATTAATTGAGGGTGCCAATAAATTTGTCCAGTCCATTTTTGGAGTTATGCATGGAATGTGTCAGATTTGGATTTTTTTTCTCCACTTTTTTGTGTCATAGCAATACAAACAAAAGAAATAAACATGAGAATGCCTAAACGTGTAGTTGCAACAATTTTCAGTGTGAAGTGGTGCATTATCTGACAGAAATGCAGGGGTGCCAATATTTTTGGCCATAACTGTAGCTGTCCAAGAGTATAATAAGTAAGATATAGTTTCTTTAGAATAGTTACCTTTTTTTAGCCTTTTCTAAAGCACTTTATTCCACTTGGTTGGTCTACCTATTCCAATGTCTTGTATTGGCTAGTAAGGCTAATTTAATTCAATTTAACACTCATAACAACCAGTCAACACCCATCATGTACTGGTCTGGTTTCAGTAAAGTGAATTCTGTTTGGTTATTGTGGATTACTTGACTGACGCTGATCATACACTAGGAAATTCTTGATGTTTTCGATCTGATTTTGCATTGTCATGAACTCTGAAAGAAAATCTCATTTATGGTGTCCTGTAGAGGTATAAGCAGTTAGTGTTTGACAGATCTCATTGACAACATCCCTTAAAGGAGAACTATGCAACTATGCATGAGTAAAATACACTCAACCCCATAGTTAGAGCCAACGTCGGCTCAATTGATAGAGAACTGACCGATCACATACCGTTGATCACTCAGTTCACAATCTTCTCCCTGCAGAGAGAGGTGACTGTCAGTTATTCTTCCTTGCAGGGATTCCCTTGTTCCCTCTTCATTCCTCAAGCCGACTGCAGCGTGTCTCTGTAAATGTCTTCCTGTGACCCTAAAGGGAACTATGGCCAAAAAGATTTGGCCATAGTTCTCTTTTAACTAAAACATCATCATTGTATATGCTCAATGTTTAACTAGAATCCTTCACTGTTGGGCTCAAGCCTGTGAGAATCCGCTGCCAGTTTGACAGCTGTGGTCCAGGTCTGTGTAGCAGAACTGCTTTCAGCTGCTATTTTTGTACTGATCACTGTAACATCTTCATACAGAATCAGTGCTTGTTAACAATGAAAATAAAAATGTAACCCTGATTAACATATTGTTCTCTCTTACTCCTTCCTTTTCTTTCTAGCTAGTTTCCTTTTAGCCTTTGCTGAATGAAAAAAGAAATGCCATTCATTATATGAATTTTTTTTTTTTTTGTAGGATTAGCAAAAAATGCATATGCATTTTTTTTCAAATGTCTTTATTCTGTTTGTAAATAACATTTGTACCAGACACATAATTGTAGCGCTATGTTAAATGGGACAGATTTGCAGAATAAAATTAGTAGTTACTATCTGTAGTAACACTAACATGATCACGGGTCAGACTAGGAAAAATCTTTCTCTATTTTCTATATATTTTTGGTTTTAAAATACTTTTCTTATGTTTTTCTTGCTTATTTACTTCAATCAATGAAGGCAGGAGGGTGAGCATGACTAAACATCTAACCTCCCCCCAAAAAAAGGACTGACCAGAAATTTCCACTATGACCAATCGCTATTTTCTCTAATGCTGCCTGTGAGATTGGCCACACTAAGTGACAATTATCTTATGTCTGCAGCTGTTTTAACCCCTTCGTGACTGACGACGTACAGTGTATGTCGCCAGCATCGGGGCTGTTTAAACAGACTCCCGGTGACTTTTGCCGAAGGACACAAGAAAGAGGCAGCTAATTATATTTGTCTGCATACTTTTTGTCTCATAATGTTATGATTGTTATAACAAAGGGCTAAATAATGACTTGCAGTTATATGATACAACATTGATAGGTTAGGAAAATATCTATTAACACGATAGAGTAACAAGTGCAATCTATAAGACCTACCAGGTCTACAAAAAATATCAGCAACCCAAACCAGTAACAAATGTACTGACATTTTAAAACTAATGTACTGGATCATTAGTCACAAACTGGCTGTAGCATGAATAGCATTCCTGATCTCAGTACCCTGAACAGATCATGTGGCTCCATTATAACTTAAATGACATGGTTTAGACAAGTTCAAGATGCAGTAACTGCAGCAAAGCATAAGTGCACACATCCTCTGTTCTATGTCTCCCCTTCAAATATTGTTATAAAAACTAGTGCGATAGGAGATGCACACAGCCAGCATGGAGACAAGCTAACATAGAGAATGTAATTTTCCTATAGAAAAACGTTAAAAAAGAGAAAACATGCTGCCCATTTTCTGGACGTTTTCTTATGTTCCCTTATTTGTATGTGCAACAAAAGCAATGTACAGCTCAGTGCCTGCAGCTTTTTCTCAGCTACTTTCTCTCTGCATGCATGCGCCCCTGCAAAGGCTTCATTACATTTCTCAGGTCAGGTTTCCTCATGTTGACAACAGAGGCCCATGCCTGCATAATGTGTGTCTAAACAATCACATTCAGTTTCTATTGGAAGCCCGTGTAATAGGGTGACAGTGCAGAACATTTGGGAGAGAGGGACAGAGTGTTAGATGCTTAAATTTGGATCACCAGATATTATTTTAATGAAACCTGCAGATAAAAAAAATATTGAAAATGCATTAAAGCAGCTCTGTCACTTACCAGGGGAAAAAAGGAAACAATTGCTACCTACAATAGAAGACTGTGAATACCTCTCCAGCGGGCAGGGAGTCCATGCTGCTCTGTCTTCTACCACTGAAGTCACTGGTAAAATGTTCAACATTTGGCACTTCCAGGAGTGATAATTGCTTTTGTCTCATGCTGCATGCTCTATTTTTTTTCCTCCTGCAACTACATCACTGCAGAATTTAGCAGTGATGTAGGGGCCAGCATGAGTAAACACAGCGAACAGCTGCATTTGATGTTTTTAGAAGTAGATTTTACCTGTGGCTACAGTGGAAGACCGAGGAGTTTAGCCCCGCCATCCCCCAAAGTGGCATGCATGTATTTATTACAGGTATTCACAGTCTTCTATTGTAATCAGAAATTGTTTGCATGTTTCCAGTGATGCAACAGTGTCAATTTAACTTGTTACTATTAAACTCCTTTAACTTCCAGAGAGAAAACTAAACCCAGACAATTAATTCTTTCAGCAAGAAGGGTCAGCTGTGTCTAGAGAGGTTGTAGAGTGCTAAAAAAATCTATTGACAGGAAATCTTTAGAGTATGTATCCATTCTATGCAAATTACAATTGTGAAGTAGAAACTTCACAACTGTAATGTAATATAGACAGGTGCAAATACACTTAAGAAAAGAAAACTTCAAGTATCTGGGCTAAAATTATGATCCTGCTACAGTATAGCGGAGAATTGTTTTCCATTAATGAGTGTAGCAGAGTACAGATATTTGTAGACCCCAACAACGTGTACATGCTGTAAGCAGTCAGATTGCTGTTTGCCAAGAAAGTATTTATTTAAACAGTTCCCAGGTCTGGCTTATGCTGTGCGCTGCTTATCTTTCCTTTCACAGAACTGCAAATAAATTGCTCCTCATAGAAAGTTAAAGGAAGCTCGCTTAATAGGATAACACGGTCCAGCCATCCTTCCATGCAGGGAAATGTTGAACACATTTATATTTTAGATACTGTAAATCACAGACAAAAACTTTGCAAAAGGAATCTTAAGGGTGAAAATTTCAAAGTATTCAAACCTTGAAAATTCAATTATTATCTCAGACTGAGGACCAGTAACGGTACTTTGCCATCTGCAGGTTTTTATAAGTCTGCCATGGCAAGCTTAACAGGTGATTGGAGTTCTAAATAATAGTTATTTTTGTTGCTTCACATGTGAGCGGAACTATCTATGTGGTGTAGTAGCCATGTCATTTGATGTTGTTTTGTCGATCTTGTCATATTGAGACTGATAAGATGGATTGCAGTCAAACTGTTGCCAAATGTTTCTCTTGACAGCAAATCGATCAAGTGTAGTGAGAATGCATCTGGGTATGCAATGCACAGTGATGATTTTGCAAGAATGGGTTTAGCCTGTGATGACTTAGGCGAACATGAGCTTAGGTGCAAAGGTAGCCATGTGTTCCATAGGTCCACGAGCAAATTAGAGATGCTCCAAATCCCCATACAGGTTACACTTGTTTTCTTTAACTTTCAATTATTGATGACGTTTGTAATATTTTTACATAGTTGAGCAAAACAATTGTTATACATTTGCAACAGAATTAACACATATATACGTGCATATATACGTATAATGTGTTATGTATGCATTTATATATTCCATAGTTATTTTAAATGAAAAGCCCAGAAAGCGAAAAACACACCCTGTATGAACACACACAAAGATAAGATGTATAAAATTTACACAGACTCCCCCACACTCATTTCCTCCTCCCCATTATCAGCTTCACCCCAAAATGTTATCACACACAGTGGGGTTGATTTATTAAAGGAGTAGAGGCTGTTTACTTGTGAATGTTCACTATGCAAAGTATAAATCCATTTTGCAAAGTGAATGTATTTGGTATTCAAAGTGAACACATCTTCACCTTTTTCACAAACATTTATCTTGCATAGAGAACAGCTAGCAAAGTTACTTTGCTAGATGAACAAGCCTTTAGTAAATTGACCCCAGCGTGTCTGAATAGTAACAACAACTCCTGTGTCTCTTACCTTTAGAAAGCATATAGTGCAATGGGAATCATTTATCATGGGTATACCATGTATCAAAATAGATGTAAGCACTTACTAAATGACATTTAGGGGGCTATTCACAAAGCAGCCGAAGGCAGTGGAGTGAATAACCCAGCCGAAGTGAAGTGAGCTGAACAAAGTTCGGCTTTTCACTCCGGCTCAGTATGGCTGATTTCAGCCGTACTTCGGCTGAGCCGAAGTGTAGAGGGACTTCGACTCAGCCGATCCCACATCTGGATCGGCTGAGCCGAAGCCCTGGCAGCTCACTTGCTGTCGTTCACCCCATTCTCATAGGGGCCGAACGGCAATGAGTGAACAGCCGAATGCTGTCTTTGAGGTACCGAGCAGAATAGAAAATAAGTGAGAAGAATTAGGAAAAAAAAGAGTTGAAAAATTATTTTTAAAAGGTAAATAAATAGGAAAATTTAAAAATAAATAAAGATATTTTAAAGAAGAAAAAAAAAGAAAAATAATTGGACGGAGCTAGCAGTGACAGCTAGCTCCGCCTAACTGTTTCCAGTCGTCAGTCACGAAGGGGTTAATAACAACAGAGCGGAGCCGGCCGTGATGTCACGGCCGGCTCCATCCAGTTGTTATTGTTTAATGACAGATCAGCGTACCCAGGTCATTTGAGGATGCTAATCTGTCAATACAACTGGGCGGAGCTAGCTGTGAGATCACAGGTGGCTCCGCCCAGCTGTCATTTGTGGGGCGAATGGCCAGCCCTTTGGCAGGCCGTTCTCCCTGCTTCGGCTGTCACTTTGGCTCAGTGTGAATAGCCTGTACAGCAGCCCTTTGGTTCGACAGAACCGAAGGGCTGAGGCGGCCAAATAGAGAGCCAAAGGATCAGCTGAAGCTATGGCTGGATCCTTAAGCTCTTTAGTGAATAACCCCCTTAGTGGCAGAGCTTTGCAATGTGAGCTACAACAGCAACTTGTAGTCTCAGAAGGTCATGTGACAGGCTTACAGTGCAAGAGTACAACTGAAAGACAGGAGCAGACCTTCGTTACAGGATGGATCTGAGCAAGGACCTTCATTAAATGATCACCAGGTATTATTTTAATGAAATCTGCAGATTTAAAAATATTGACGGCTTAAAATATTGAAAATTACATGTAAAAGCCTTTTTTATTTTTATATATATATATATATATACTGAGTGGCCAGATTATTATGACATATATATATTGTGTGTGTGTTTTAAAAATATAAAGTTTTGCTTTAAAAATAAAACAACATTTTGTTTTGTAATAAACATAGAAAATATGTTCATTACAGTCCATGTATCTCATACTTGGAACATGAATTATAGTGGCAGATGACTGAAAATAATTGGAAATATGCTCGCTGTTACTGATTGATTCTTGTGAAAATATGCAATTACAAAGAGCTTAAAGCATATCTAAACGCAAAAACAAAAATGTAATATATTGCAACTTACCAGTCCTTAGATGTGGTGGTTGCGTTAGGTTTCACTTTTCAGACTAAGAACATTTTCAAAAAGTACAGCAAATACTTGTTGATCTTACCAGAAATGCAGGGTTCTTGTTACTTATGAAGTTAGCACAAACATTCTTACCTACAGTGGGGCAAAAAAGTATTTAGTCAGCCACCAATTGTGCAAGTTCTCCCACTTAAAAAGATGAGAGAGGCCTGTAATTGGCATCATAGGTAGACCTCAACTATGAGAGACAAAATGAGAAAACAAATCACATTGGCTGATTTGGAACGAATTTATTTGCAAATTATGGTGGAAAATAAGTATTTGGTCACCTACAAACAAGCAAGAGTTCTGGCTCTCACAGACCTGTACCCTCTTCTTTAAGAGGCTCCTCTTTCCTGCATTCATTACATGTATCAATGGCACCTGTTTGAACTTGTTATCAGTATAAAAGACACCTGTCCACAACCTCAAACAGTCACACTCACAATTGGTGGCTGACTAAATACTTTTTTGCCCAACTGTATGTTATGTAAACTATTAATCAATCCACCATGTAATGGGAAATGTACAGAGGCAGAGCTGTTGAAGTCCAGCCTGGATGACAACCATGGCTCCTTCTACAGATACCATAAAGTAGCGTAGACACAAAAAGACAGACATTGTGTTACATGCGGGAATAAAAGGAATAAGGAAAAAAGCCTGAAAAAAATAAAACTAATGCAACCATTATATATAAGGGCAGATATGCTGAAATATATTACTTTTTTGTTTTTAGTTTACTATCACAAGCAATGACTGAAACGAGATCCGTGTAGGAGCCAGGTAAACAGCTTATTTAGACATTTTGATGAGTTGCTGTTTGAATATACAGACCTTTGCAAAAATGTTTTAAACTTAGAAGATACAAAGGAAAGCTGGGTCTGTGCATTATCTTGGTTATCTATAGCAATTAGCTTTTCTGTGTGTTGGCTTGCTTCTAACAAAGCTTTATCATTTGTCTTCATAGATGGACCTCTGCAAGACTTTGATGGACTTGGCTCTACAAGGACTCGCTTATTACCATACCTATGACAGATTCTTCCTTGGCATAAGTGTTGTGATGGGCTTCACTGGCTGGATTTCATACGTTATTTTAATAACTTTGAAAACAAATACTAATATATCTCAAACTACTGTGACTCACAATGGGGTAAGACAGCATATTAAATAAAACAATTATTTTGCTTTAAACACTACACAGAAATGAAAAAACTATTTGGGTGTCAAATTACCTTACCTGTATGTCATACCGTCCAGTGATACTTTTGTGAAAACTATGGATGTCCCGATGCCACTTTTTCAGGCCCAAGTACAAGTACATCCCCTCATGTACTTGCCGATACCAATTACCGATACTTTTTCTTAAAGGGACAGGTGACTTTAAATGATCCATAGTACAACTACATGTAATGTACTATGGAACATGATTTAGCCTATTCATGTTAGCAGGGGAGATTTGTAAATCTATTGTTGACCCAGAGGACCCCAACCCCAGCCACCACGGAAGGTAAAAAAACCCCAAAAAAAACAGCGCAAGCTTCGGCGCTAGGCATCGGTGCATTTTGACAAGTACTGCTAGCATCGGTATCGGGACATCCCTAGTGAAAACCTTTTTGGAAGTGCATAGATTAAAGCAAAATTTCTAGCAAATAAACCCCCCCATTAGTTTAAATACATGTTCAATAAAAAGTAATTACATGTTGTTGTTTTTTTAAATAATGCTAGTATAACCACCTTCAGGAAAAACTGTGGCCAGGCTATGAACATTTAGAAATTTACATATTCTTAAGCAGATGTAAAACGAACTTTCACTAACAACTGTAGCTGCAGCCACTGTGGAGAAATTAATTGATTAAGTTTTAAGTTGGACCTCACTTCCCTCTTCTGTGAACCTGATCTGTGTTATTACATTCCAAACTGTAAGGATGGCAGGTGAGAACAAAACGATCTATAGAAAGAAACTGAGAGTGAAAATATTTTTTAGAACTAGTTTATGGAGCCTGCAAATACGAAGGTCATTAAAGGCTTGTTTTTAAGCATTACTACTGTGTTTAAAGAATGTTTAATTATTTAACTTTCTATATTTTAGAAACACTTTTTTATAGTTTCCAATAGAGCAAGGTAGGGTTTGAACCTCTGTCAGGTTTTTTATTTCTAAGTAAATGTTTATTGAGGTTTTTCAGAAAGTGTACATGTATATAAAACAATAACATTGACAGTAGTACACCACCAAAGCATATTATCTGCACAAGTGCAAGCTCAACCAGCTTACTCAGTTACTTCAGTTCCGCTAACCCACGCAAAGGGATCAGATGAGTGTTTTGATGTCACCCTTATACAGAGTGTAATTTATGTGTTACTTGAAAGAGTGACACATATTAAGAGGAAGGCCCGCATAGTGGGCTTAGGAATGAGGGCATTGGTGGTTCTTCAGTAAACCAAGTAAGATTTAGCCACAAGAGGAAGGAAATAAAAAAAGGTAGGGCAGAGGAGGGAGGTAAGGATCCAGCAATGGGTTTGGAGGTGGTATGATCAGGGAGGGAATACCCCCACAGACCTAGTCTGAGTGTTCATATATGAGTGGTCATATATGGATTAGTCATTTATCAAAGTTAGGTTGTAGAAAATGAAGAACCCAGAGAGCCCAAATGGCATCAAATTTTACCCTAGTGTCATTTTATCGTGCCAGTCTTTTCTCGTTAGAGCATGATCCACATAATGGCATGCTCTATCTCCTCAAATTTAAGGGGATTTCTAGACTCACTGCAAGGAGCTGGAAGCAGTAACTGTTAGTCCAGCACTCACTGGAGGGACAGACAGGGAAGGTGGTGGGAACAGCTGGCTCTGGCTTTGGAGAGGTGGAACTAGCTGTCAATCAGACAGTATTATTAAGATCCTTTTCAGCTGCAGCGTGGCTCTGTACTGTCAGTTGTTAGCAGGAGTATGTTAGTAAATGTAAACCAAAAGAGAAGCAAAGCCAGAAAAAGCTTTGGCTTTACTTCAATTTTCATCTTTATTGATCTGTGTAGAATGTTCTTTTCCCCAGTCGTCTTCCAGGACAGAACATGAGAGTATGAGGCTCTGCCTCCAGACTGGAAACACATCACCCAGCAGAATTAAAAAGGATCCAGCCTTAACTTGCCCTCAATTATTGTGTTTCCTCCGTCCGGAGGAGATGTATCATCTTTTTCATCTGGACCTTCACTCTCTCATGGGCTGTCCAGGATGTGGGTTTACCTGGATCAGGCATTTTCTGAAGGCTTGCAGCGGAGGAGAAGGCTCCCTTTTCCCTGCAGTACCTGGTGAGGGTCAGAACCGGGGACCACAACATCCCCTTGGTGTGGTGGCCTGTGTTACTCCGTCGTAGGCTCACGCAGCTCTGAGATGCTGTAGTGCTTCCGCTAACTTCACAGTGTGGTGGCTGACGTCACTTTCAGTAAGGCTATGGCTTCCGGGTGCCGTAAGGTTGTGCTCCAAGCCTAGGACTAAAGAAGGGGAGGGGCCTAATGTGATACTTCTAGAGGGAATCCCAGCACAGGCTGAGAGGAGGCTGAACAGGAGGGAACGCTGGACATTGGATTCTTCTCAGGCACAGTTTTCTGTGGATGCAGCCAAGATCACTACTGCTTCTGCTCATGTAATAGCCTCATTTTTATCTGGCTATTTCCCTGGATTTTACTGGCTATTTGTAGCTCTGCAGCATGTGCAGGAGGTTTCCTTGTTGTGTGCCCATGGTTGGTCTCTTTTATGAGGATTGACCTCTAACGGGTGGTTATTCTCCTGTTTTTCAGACCAAAGCCCCTAAAAAAAGTTTAGGGAGTACCAAGGAAGAAATGGGCAGTCTGTGGTTCTATGCTCAGTACTACTAGTTCTAAACCCCTTTGTCAACTATGTATTAATGGATTAGCTGAGGAGGAATCTACTACTACTTGCAATAGTCTTTTGGCCACAGTTAAGGAGGAGTTGGCTGCTACCTTTTACTCTTTCAGAACACTGATTGAGGACATGAGAGCCCCAATTGAGACCCCCTCAGCATCCTGGCCACTGCTGTATTCACTTCTGGAGCAGGGACTGGATTGCCAAAGATGCAGCAAAAACTTCTGCAATTTGCAGTCTGTTGGGAGATCTGGTAGACCAAAGGGTGATCCTCCCTATTCCAAGAGAGGAGATCGCTAGAGGGTTTTATGCTCACATGTTTGTTGTTCAAAAACCCTCAGGAAAATATCGGCTTATTCTGAATTTAAAGCCTCTGAATGCTTCTGTGAGGTACAAGAAATTCAGAACGGACCCCATTTTTTCAGTCAAAAGCATCATGCAGCCAGGAGCTTACATGGCAACCATAAACCTAAGAGATGCTTATCCGCACATTCCCATCAGGGATAAATCGGAGAGATTCCTTAGGTTGGCAGTAAGGATAGAATCAAAGATTTCTCATTTCCAATTCAGGGCCCTTCCCTTTGGGCTCTCCTCGGCGCCAAGATTATTTTCCATGATCTTGGGGGAAGTCTTTCTGGCCTCTGAGACTCAGAGGGATGTATTATCCCCTATCTAGACAACCTGTTAGTGAGGAATCTAGGCTGGTTAACCAACAAACCAAAGTCCAACCTGATTCCTTCCCAGACAGTCGCGTTTCTAGGCTACATTCTCAATACAATAAAGGAGAAGATTTTTCTACAAGACAAAATAAAGAAGATTTCTTCAAGTGTGGCTATTCTTCAGAGAAATCAGACTGTCTTGATGAGATCGATCATGTTGGTTATGGGTCTCATGACCTCCACCTTTCCTGCGGTCCAGTGGGCAAGATTTCATCAGAGACCACTGCAAAAATTTCACTTAAGGACTTGGGATTATTCCAAGGACTCCTTGTATTCAACGTGCTATCTTCCAACAAAGTAAAAACAAGCCCTTTGGTGGTGGAGAACACAGAACCACCTCTACTAGGGCCTTCTGTGGATATTGTCCCCTTTGAAGAAAAAACGTACAGATGCCAGCGCCTGGGGTTGTGGAGCTCAAATGGAAGATCAGTTTTTTCAGAGGCAGTGGAACAAGCCAGAATCGAAGGCTTCATCCAATTGGAGGGAACTAAAGCATGCCCAGATACTCTCGGACAATGTGACAACAGTCGCCTAATTCAACAAGCAGGGTGGAACAAGAAGTTACGCTCTGCAGTGCTTTCAAAATAAATATTTTTTTGGGGGAGACAAAAATATGGCTTCAATTTCGGTAGTTCATCTCAGGGGTTCTCTCTATCAAATAGCAGATTGTCTGAGCCGCCAGAAAGTTCTTCAGGAGGAAAGGAGCCTAAATCCAGAGGTCTACAACCTACTGATACAGTAGTGGGGGATTCCCGAAGGGGACTTGTTTGCCACATAAGCGAACGCTTCTATGGACAGAGTAATAGGCATGGATGA